ATGGCCAGGGCTGGACTCTGACCCACCTACTGCGCCTGCCCCCAGCCCCCACCCCTCCCAGCCAGCTGTCATGGAGGAGGGAGTGTTCAAAGCCTGGACCAGCAAGCCTAGCCCCAAGCCAAGCTCCCTCCAGAGACACAGCTAAGAGTGGACAGGAGATGCTGTCTGCCCTAGACACTGACCTCCGCCAGCTAGACTCCGGGGGAGGAGACAAGTAGGCAGGACCATACGGAGAGCTGTCGACGTGAGCAGCACCAGTTAAGGAGAAAGGGAGGAGGGGACGGAGGGCACAGAGGCCAGAGAAGTGCAGGACACTGGAGGAGTGGACGCGCTGTTCAGAGAAGCGAGCACCTCCCTCCTCCTCTTCCGTGAGGGGCAATGCCAGGGCCAAAGAATGCAAGAGAAAAGGGAACCAGGCCCAGCAGAGCTGGAAGAACAAGGAAGAGTAATGGGATGGGGCATGGGAAGCAGAGCAACGAACGTCTCCAAAACCAAAAGCTACCAAGATTAAGGGGAGGCAAAATGTGAAGAGGGGACCAGACCCCCTTCGGCAGGAGACCTATGTCCCCCATCAAAGGCGCCATCGTGGTCACATGGGCCGAACGGTGGCTTTTCTGGGAGGCCTGGAACGGACAGGACTGAACCGCACACAGAGCCCCCCCCCATGAGTTCCCGCAGAACCCCATCTCCTCCCCGCCGGCCCCACCCCCCGTGAAGGATATGTGGCGGGGGTAGCGGCGGAGCGGGGACGCCATTCTTCGGGGGTCTCGCTGCACTCGTTCCACCAGCCCGTGGTGCCGAGTGCCCCGAGATGAATCCAGAGGCGAGTGGAGGGGGCTCTGCCGGAAGAGACAGGTAGGTCAGCAGGGGAGGTCGCCCGAGAGCCCGTGCTCCCCCTCGGCCGGTGTCCACTTACCTGGAACTCAGCCAGCCCACAGCCAATCTGGTTGACATTAGGCAGAGAACCGCCGTAGTGGGAGCTCCTCGTGTAGGCCAGGCGCAGCTTCTGGGCCTGTAACTGAGAGGGAGGACAAGCGGGAGTGTCAGGGAAACTTCTGACCACTGCTCCTGTGCCATCTGTCTCCACGGCATGCTGTCCCGCTGGTGCCGGGAGGAGAGGTGCCAGGAACCGCAGAACCGGCCAGGCTGGGGACACGCCACCCGCATCCACGGCGCCGACGGCTGGAGTTACCCAGCCAGGCAGGGTCTGATGCTCTGCTCGGGGCCTGGCCCAGTTGGCATCCGTCTAAACAGAGTCCCCGAAGGGTTGCCAGCATCCCTCAAGCTAGTCCCATGGGGTAACTCCCGGGAAGGGGGCCCATTAGGCACCTCCGCTTTCCCTTCCCAGTGCGCCAGGACTAACTGGAACACGAGGCGACGGCCACAGGGGGAGGCCACAGAGCCATTATCGCCAACCTCCTTCCTTCCCGCTCCAGACAGCGCAGGCTTCTAGGCTCTGCCGTTTGCCCCGCCTCAGGAAAGCTACACAGAGCCTGTACCACCCAAACTAGAACATCTGGGAAATGACAGCTCTCCTCGCTGGGAAACCAGTCCCAAAACCAAGAAGCAGTCTTCTTCTAGCTCATTCAAAAGCCCCTGGATGGCCAGGGGAGCCTTGAGACCGGGGGTGATAGAGGGAGCAATAACCCTGTTCAGCCTGGCCTGATCCCCACTTTGGGGAGAGGTTATCTGGCCCAGCAGTGAGACGCCACAACCATCAGTCTGGCAGGCTGATCCTACAGATCCTAAGTCCTTCTGCGGGAGGTGAACACCTACTTCTGGACCGCTGCAACCTGTCAAAATACAGAACTAGGGCAGCTGATGAACTTCTGGGGGCCATGCATTGCTCTGCTGAGCCCAACGTCAGAACTTTCTGTTCCAAGAGGTCAGCACACCGAGTTCAGCAGACACTACGGAAACCGTTGGGCCACTCCAGATTGCTGTTAGTACGCGTGCCAACACCTGCCTCCCGTTACCATCGGCCCCGACGGCTGTACGGGGCTCAGCAGAGCCCTCTCCGCTAAGCTAAGCCCCAGATCCCTTACCTCCAGTTTTAGACTCTTGGGTTACCAAGCCCCAGCCTTGTATGCCCACTAGAAGTCCATGAGCAGCAGAAAAGTAATCTGCAGTGGCAAGGGGGGGCACAAGGGGTGTTTGGACAAACCAAGGTGCTCAAAAGACAGAGGCCTCAGCTCTGAGCTTCTCACAGCCTTTCTGCTTGCGCACACAAACCCTAAAATCCCACCCAGCGGCTGCAGGAGTCAGAGCCCAGACAGAGGACAGGGCCTCAAGCGGAGGCTCCGGCCCACATTCCTGCCTCTGTCCCCACCTCGACCAGAAGCTCCTGCAACGGAGCCGTCTTTGCTCAGATGGATCACGACCCTCCCCGCACTGAGAGGGAGCTGTGGCCAGCGCCTCCAACCTGCTTCCCCACTAACGCTCTCTGTTCTGACTCCCATGAACTAGGACACATGGTCTCTAGAGACCCAAAGGGGAAAACACACAAGAAAAACTAACAGCTGGGGAGACACAAACAAGAGCACAGCCAGAGTCACAGGCATCGATGCAAACCAGTCAGACGAGCAGAAAGAGCTCCCAGCCGTGCTTCTGTGCCACCCTCTCCCCGGGAGCTCCTCCTCGCTGGGGCTGTGAGGGACCCGCTGCGGCAGTACCCTCACCTGCCGTTCTGAGAAGAACGTGTCCCTAAACGAGGACTGCACGCCAGCTGGGCAGACTCCCACCCTCACGCCCTCTGCTACTGGGGCCTGGGAAGCAAGAAGCGAAGGCCAGAGGGGCTTCACAGGCTATTGGGCTGCGGTGTCTTCTTTCTGGAATTGCTCAGGAATGAATGTCCCCTACCCACAGGCGACCCTCCGAGGAGGCACCTTATAACCGACCCACAATGCAGCCATCTTCCTAAAGAGCTCAGCAAACCTAACCTACAGCCAACTGGTGACCCGCCCTGGAGCTTCAAAGTCCTGCGTCCCCTCCGCGGCGGCCAGGGCAGAACATCAAGCGCCGTCTGTGAGCCCCGGACCTCACCTTCTTCACGTCAGGAAACCACAAGAAGCATTTGAAAAAGGAAGCAAAGGGAAGGGACGCAGGAGGGGACTTCCTGCCCCCACGAGACCTAGCGCGGCGGCGCAAACCACTCCCGGGGCCCTTTCCCGAAGGCACCCGAGCGGCGAGAGGGGCTCAGCGGGGCAGAGGGACCAGACCGCAGGAGATGCCCGAGCCGGAGGCGCCGGCGGCCCGTGCCCACCCCCGCCGCCGCCCGAGCCCCGGGGATGCTGCAGGGGCGTCCCCCGGTCCTCCGCCGGGGATGCCCCGGCCCGCCGCCGCCCGCACGGCCCCCGCTGGCTCCCCCCGGCCCCGCGGCCCCCGCCGGCTCCCCCGCACGCCCGTCTTCCCGCCCCGCGCCGCCCGGCCGGCGGCCTCCCCGCTCCGCCTCCCTCGCCGCGGCGCCCGCCCCCGCCCCCGCCCCGCCTCTCGCTCCGGGACGGCGCCCCCGGCTCCCGCTCCCCCGGCGGCCCCTCACCCGGGTGGAGCCGATGTCCATCATCACCTCCTCGAAGGCCGCCGTCTCCTCCGCCTGACGCTGTTTCTGCAGCGCGATCTTCTCGCTAAACTTGCGCGGATTGGAAGCTGCGGCCGTGGCCGAGCCGGGCCCGTTGGCGCCCGCCGTCGCCATCTTCCCCGTGCGTCCCTCCCCGCCACCCTCCCAGACAAGTCACGGCCCCGCCGCGGGCCCCGGCCGGCGCCTCCAGCCGCAGCCGCCGCCGCCGCCTCGGCGAGCACCGCGAACCCGGCCCCAGCCTAGCCCGGACCTGCCGCTCGCGGGTGCCGCCGGGAACTGTAGTTTGTTTACGTGACCCCTGCGCGGCCCCAGGCGAGCAGTCCGGACAGGAAGCGGACTCCATTTCCCAAGAGTCCTGCGGCTCCGGGTCCTGGGAGCCTGGCTCCTCCCCCGCGGCTCCTCCCTGCGCGGAGCCCGCCGGGAAGAGTAGTTCTGAGTTGGTCTCAAGCCTCGGACCGCGAAGGGGAGCGGGATGCGGGCGAGGGAAGGATTCGGGAGGAAGGGGAAGGGGTGGAGACAGGGCGGGAAGAAGGAAGGAACAAAAGAGGGAAAATCTGGGTCTTGGGGAAGGGGCCTACGGCGCCTGAGAGAAAACCAGAGCGGGACTATTAAAACAGCTATAAACGTCTGGGACTCAGGCCCCCTCAGACGGGCCACGTGCCCACCCCTTGCCCAAGACAAACGAATCAGACACTGTACAAATGTATAGAAACATCTTTTATTTGGGTAACAAGTCCCAAAACAGGTCAGTTAGTAAAATAGATTCTAGAGGACGTGGCTCTATCCACGGCCCACCCTCCCCAAAAATAGCTGGGGGTGAGCCTTCCCCTCGGGCTCCTCTGGTATAAAAAAAGTTTTGGCAGCTCAGTGTTTGTCCTCTGGGCACGCGGCAGCCATGTCGCTTCAGGATTCCTAGGGCGCAAAGCGGAGCGGGCCGGGCTGCAGCCCTGCCAACCCTCCCCCAACCTCAGCTCAGCAAATAGGGCTGCCTGGAAAGGGCAAGCAGGTCCCTCACTGAGATGTTGGGCCGGGTCCAGGGCCATCACTGTGCTTTTTGACAAAGAGGGAAGGGATTTATTTGGCACTTTAAAAACAGAGAAGTGAGCAGGACTAGAGAACCCAGAGAAGGTACCAAAACTGGCAGGAAGAAGCCATTTGGCATGAGTCCTCTGGGAGAAGGGAAGCAGGAGATACAGAGAAGGAGCTAGGAGAAGTAGCAGTCCACTCCGCCCCGGGTGACAGAGGGCCGAAACAGGCTAGAACCGGCAGGACTGCTGACTCTGGGCTGAGCCTCCTCGACACCTCCCCATCCCACGGCTGCTGGGTACGGCCCCCCCGGCTTCCCACCACCAGCCCGTGCCTGTACATAGTGTCTGACCCCGACTTTCTAGCACTCGGTGTCTTCCCCAGTACGCGTCCCCAATCATGTCCTTAGTGATCTGACTATCCCTTGGGGCCAGGCTCTTGTCTACCCCATCCCTCACATTGGTCAGTCCGTCCCAAAGACTCCATCCCTGTCTCCCAGAGAACTCTCTGACCCTCCATCCTCCCTTCCCCACTCCTACTCTTACACGCTGGGGAAGGAAAGGAAGGTCAAGGGCCCCCGGAGCCCCCTAGACCTGGACGAAGAGCAGGCCAGTGAGCAGGGCAAAGCCTGCAAGAAGCAGAATGACCTTGAGGATCCTCTGCTCAGAGGTGGCCAGCTCCTGGGGCAAGATTTCCAGGAAGGTGATGTAGAGAAAGGTGCCGGCTGCCATGCCTTCCAGCACAGACTGGGCCAGCTGGTGCAGCGGCCCGGCCGACTCAGCCAGAGCTGCCCCCAGACCGATGCCCAGAGGGGTCATGCATGAGAAGAGGATCCCACAGCCAGCCACCACCTGTGCCCGCAGGTGGCTCTGCAGCAGCCGCAGGGACAAGCTGACCGCCAGAACACCCTTGTGGAGCAGCAACGCCAGACACAGCTCCACAGCCCGGGCCCGGTCCCGCTGCAGCCCCACCGCCAGTCCCTCGAACACCGAGTGCAGGGCCAGGGAGAAGACCAGTACGCAGGCGCGCAGGGCTGAGGGGGCTGCTGGGGCTCCCCCTGACTGTGGGAGCCCTGGCCCGTCGTGCCAGTGCTGTGGCCCACCGTTTGCCGTTCCCAGCAGAGCCCTGGTCTCCTCTCGAGGTGGTGGCCCTGACTGCTCCCTGTAAGCCAGTGTGATCTGCTCCATCACCAGGACCAGGAAGAAGCCCATTGCCAAGATGAACTCTTGCAGGGGAAACTGGAGCTGTGGGCAGACAGGGCAGATGGGCCGAGAGTGGGGAAGAGCGGTCAAGCTCCGAGTCTTGAGGAGTCCCAGTGATGCAGACTTAGGGTCCCCCACAGGCGCAGGGCTCCTCTCACACAAACACACCCATAATCACACAGATGAGGCCCAGCCCAGAGTCAGCAGTCCTGCTGGTCCTAGCCCATTTGGGCCCTCTGTCACCTGGGACAGAGTGGACACGACTTCTCCTAGCTCCTCCTCGTATCTCCTGCTTCCCTCCTCCCAGATGAGTGTCACTTGCAGGACCACACAGACACCAGCTTCTCAGCTTTGGCACTATCAAAATTTGGGGTTGGACAACTCATTTTGGAGGGCTGTCCTGTGCTCAGTAGGATCTAACAGCATCCTCATCTGTACCTGTTAGATGCCAAGAGCAAGCACAGAGCCTTCCTTCCCCGAGTTGTGACAACGAAAAACGTCTCCAGACACTTCCAAATTTATGCTGTGAAGGGGACGCAAAACCAGCCCCCGCTGCCAGTGGCTTACACAGATTACACAGAGTGGGACACGAAGGCACACAGGAAGGATCACACGTTGCCCGCCTCACCAAATGCTCACACACGGAGCCACACGGTATCATGGGGCCATCGGACTTACACACAGTCACACAGGGCCATGGGCACTCAGTCACAGAGGGTACATCCTGTGTCACTTCCCCAGTCTTAGGAAGAGGAAGAGTGCGGGGGGCCTTCCCAGTACCTCTGCACAACTGTGTCAGTTTTTCCCCTGAGACTTTCCTACGCCTTGTACTCGATCTTCTTCACGCCCTACCTCCTTGGGTTATGGCACCTTTGGTCCTGGACTCCAGGCCTCCCACCCTTCCCAGGCCTGTAGGGCGCTCTACCGCCAACCCCTTCAGCAAAGTGGTGTGAGAACGAAGCTGATTCTTGGAGGCTGGGGCTAAGAAATTCCCGGAGGAGGTCACATGCCTGGCCAGAGGCTCCTCTCCACATCACGGAGTGCATCACAGTCACAGAGGGACTGGGGGTGGGGCAGCACCACAGAAAGTTATTCCCCATCACTAAAAATCACAATTCATAGGGTCCCATGCTTGGTGCCTTCCACACGGTCACAAGGTCACAGAGCACCCCAGGAAGGGATCCGAAAAAGCCCCCTCTTCCACAGCGATGTGACTGAACCCCCACCCCCACAGGGTCACACGCAGCAGCCAGAGCTCACCGTCACGTGCAAGGCCGCTAGGGCCTCGTCTATGGCCGCCAGGTAGTCAGGCAAGAGGTCCAGGAGACAGGTGGCCAGGAAGACACCCCCCGCGAAGCAGCTGACTAGGCTCAAGGCTTTCTGCCGGGAGGCTGGACAGGGGAGCACAGACGGGAGTGAGCCTGGACCCCCTCGAGCCTCTCTGCCCCAAGCAAGGCTCCCTCTGGCCTTCCTGTGCCCAGGGGACCCTCTTCAGCTCCCGGCGACCTCCCTAGGCCCAACGCGGGGCGGCAGCGGGGATCCGAGAAGCTCACCGGAGGCTTCGGGGTTAGCCCCGGGCCGGCGCAGCGCGCAGACAGGCACCAGACTGCACAGCGCGGTGAGCAACAGCAGCAGCACCAGGGCCCCGACTTTCACCTCCAGCCCCACAGGCCCTGCGGGTTCCGAGCCCACCGCCTCCGGGCGCCACACCACCAGCTCCGGCTCTCCCCAAGGCCCCATGGTAGCTGCAGCGGCAGGCACGGCTGTCGGACGGGAGACACAGCGAGCGGGGCGGCGGTCACCTGCGGATGGGGCCGAGCAGAGGGGAGGGCTGGTCCGCGGAGGGGGACCCCCTCCCCCCGCCGCCTTCCGACCTTCCGACCCCGTGTGGTTCGTGCACGCCGGGCCCCGCAGCCGGCGTGCCCGCAGACGGCTCAACTGGGGACCCTGCGCGGGGGTTCCGGCGTCGGGGCGCCGCGGGTGTCTCCTTACCTTTCCCCTGGAGCGCGGCCCTCCGGGAGAGGAGAAGCCGGGGCCCCCGCAGGAAGGAGCGGACGGAGCCGAGGGGGTCGGGCTGCGCGAGCTGTCGCGGGGAGCGTCGCGGGGAGCGTCGCGGGCCACCTGGGTAGGGCGAGTTTGGGGCTGGATCACTCCCCGCTCCCGCTTCCCCAGCGCCGCGCCGGAAGGCACAGCGGCGGGCAGACGGCCACCGCCAGGGGCCCCATGTGGCGGGGTCGCGGCCAGGCCTCCCAGCCCGCACGCCCGGGGCGCACACTCACCTCGACCGGGTCCCCCTCCGCCGCGGCCGCTGGGTTCCGCCGCGACCCGGGACCCCGCCCCGCCGCGTCCCGCCTCCCTGCCGCCGGCGGCCAATGACGGCGCGCGGAGGGCGGGACCCGACGCGGAGTGACGTGCCCTGGAGGCAATCGGAGGCCGGCGGGCGGGCTGACGGGGGCGGGGCGGGGCGGGGGTGCGAGGGGGCGGGCCCAGGGGCTGCGGGCCCGGGGCGCCGCGGGGCGGTCCGACTGGCGGGGCTGGCCGGAAGCGCGAGAGGCCGCGGGCGAGGCGGGAGTCGGGACCCCGCGCGCGGAGCCGAGTCTTCCGCTCTGGGACGCCGGGCTCGGGTCCCGGTGTCAGGCTGCGCCTTCTTAGCCATCTCCGCGGAGACGCGAAGACCCGCTCTGCGCCCTCGGCGCCGGGGGGAAACAGCCCAGTCTTAGGGCGGACTCCTCGCTCGACTTCCCTCTCCGGCGCTCACCGCGGAGGAAGAGGACGCGGCGGAACTGGGAAGGGGAAACAGCAAAGAGCGGCCGCTCCTTGACAGTAATCCCTCTGGACCGCCAGGGCCCGAGGGCACTTCTGTGCGGCCTTCTGTCTTCCCCGAGAGTGTGCCGGAACCGGTGGGACACGGCCCGGGGGCGGGGGGCACGGCCTGCCCGGGGAAGAGCCGCCGCCCTCCGCAGGCTCCAGCCTCCGTCCTTACCGCGCCTCAGGGCATCGAGCCGGGTTCTCTCCAGACTCCCCTTGAGCTCTGCAACTCCTCTCCCCGCAGCCCTGCTCGCCTCCCTTGTTTTCTGTTCCTGGATGGCACCAAGTACTCGCAACTCAGGACCCTCCTGCTTCCTTAGCCCGGATCCTTTTGGCCCACATTCCCTGTGCTGTCGGAATCTTCTAACCTCATTGGAGGGTAGGATTTAAAAAAGGAAATGAAGAAGGGGGTTCAGCCTAGTGTTTGCAAAGGTGCAAAGACCACCGTCTCAAGAAGAGGCAGGAGTAATGTCTCTTAAGGCTCTCGAAATGGAGGCCAGCAACTTCCTCAAGAGGGAATGTGTGAGGGGGCGCCTGGGTGGCTCAGTGGGTTAAGCCTCTGCCTTCAGCTCGGGTCGTGATCCCGGAGTCCTGGGATCGAGCCCCGCATCGGGCTCTCTGCTCCGCGGAGAGCCTGCTTCCTCCTCTCTCTGCCTGCCTCCCTGCCTGCTTGTGATCTCTCTGTCAAATAAATAAATAAAATCTTACAAAAAAAAAAAATACCGTTAAGAGGAAACTCTGGGGCATCCGGATGGCTCAGTCTGTTAAGCCTCTGCCTTCACCTCAGGTCATGATACCAGGGTTCTGGGATAGAGTCCCACACGGGCTGCCTGCCCAGCGGTAAGCCTGCTTCTCCCTCTCTCTCTCTGCCTGCCTCTCTGCCTACTGGTGATTTCTGTCAAATAAATAAATAAAATCTTTTTAAAAAAGATTATTATTATTTCTTAAAAGACTTATTTATTTATTTTAGAGAGAGACAGAGACAGCATGAATGGGAGGGGCAGAAGGAAGGGGAGAGAGAGAATCTCAGGGAAACTCCACACTCAACACAGAACCTGAAACGGGCTTGAGCCCAAGACCTGGAGATGATGGCCCGGGCCAAAACTGAGAGCTGAATACTTAACTGACTCCTTAATATTAGAGTGTATTAGAGAATATTAGAGTGTGCTCCTTAATATTACTGATAATTAGTAACATTAACAAGAAATCATGGACTGGGAGACAGGACACCTGCAGATGTGTCCCAGCTCTACCTTAGTTTTTTTGTAAGATTTTATTTATTTATTTGAGAGAGAGAGCAGAGAGAGGGGCAGAGTGAGAGAAAATCCTGAAGCAGTCTCCCACTGAGGGCAGAGCCCAATGCAGGACTTGATCCCAGGTACCTGAGATCATGACTTGAGATGAAATCAAGAGTCAGATGATTAACCGACTGAACCACCCAGGGACCCAAGGCTTTTTTTAAATAATTTTTTTAGGGACGCCTGGGTGGCTCAGTGGGTTAAGCCTCTGCCTTCTGCTCAGGCACTGATCTCAGGGACCTGGGATCGAGCCCCGCATCGGGCTCTCTTGTCCGTGGGGAGCCTGCTCCCCCCCACCTGCCTCTCTGCCTACTTGTGATCTCTGTCAAATAAGTGAATAAAATCTTTAAAAATAAATAAATAAATAAAATTTTAAAAATATTTTTTAAAGATTTTATTTATTTATTTGACAGACAGAGATCACAAGTAGGCAGAGAAGCAGGCAGAGAGTAAGGGAGAAGCAGGCTCCCTGCGGAGCAGAGAGCCTGATGCGGGGCTCAATCCCAGGACCCCGAGATCATGACCTGAGCCAAAGGCAGAGGCTTAACCCACTGAGCCACCCAGGCGCCCCCAAAATAATATTTTTAATAAAGATTTTTCTTGGGGTGCCTGGGTGGCTCAGTGGATTAGGGCCTCTGCCTTCGGCTCAGGTCATGATCCTAGGGTACTGTGATCCAGCCCCACGTCGGGCTCTCTGCTCCGCGGGGATCCTGCTTCCTCCTCTTTCTCTCTGCCTGCCTCTCTGCCTACTTGTGATCTCTGTCAAATAAATAAAGAAAGTCTTAAAAAAATAAAATAAAGATTTTTCTTTATTGGGGTGCCTGGGTGGCTCAGTGGGTTAAGCCTCTGCCTTCGGCTCAGGGCATGACCTCAGGGTCCAGGATTGAGCTCCGCATCGGGCTCTCTGCTCAGCAGGGAGCCTGCTTTGCTCTCTCTCTGTCTGCCTGCCTCTCTGCCTACTTGTGATCTCTCTGCCAAATAAATAAATAAATCTTTAAAAAAATTTTTTTTTCTTTATTGAAAGCCTGCTCCCCCCCACCGCCTGCCTCTCTGCCTACTTGTGATCTCTGTCTGTCAAATAAATAAAATCTTTCAAAAAAATAATTTTTTAATTTTTATTTATTTATTTTTAAAGATTTTATTTATTTATTTGCCAGAGAGAGAGCACAAGCAGGCAGAGTGGCAGGCAGAGGCAGAGAGAGAAACAGGCTCCCTGCAGGACAAGGAGCCCAATGTGGGACTCAACCCAGGACCCTGGGATCATGACCTGAGCCAAAGGCAGCGGCTTAACTGACTGAGCCACCCAGGCATCCCCCCCAAAATAATTTTTTTAATAAAGATTCTTCTTTATTTATTCGACAGAGATCACAAGCAGGCAGAGAGGCAGGCAGGGGCGGGGGGAAGCAGGCTCCCCACTGTGCAGAGAGCCCGATGTGGGCCTCGATCTCAGGACCCTGAGATCATGACCTGAGCCAAAGGCAGAGGCTTAACCCACTGAGCCACCCAGGCACCCCCCCACTTTGTTTTTTAATATGAATTTTTAATGTGTGTATTTACAACATTTTTTTCTTAAAGTAAGGTCTACCCCAAACATGGGGCTTGAACTCACAACCCTGAGATCAAAAGTTACATGTTCCACTGATTGAGCCAGCCAGGCATCCCTCTACCTTAATTTGATGTGTGATCTTAAGCAAGTCATTTTCTCTCTCAGGAATTTGATGAAGCAGGTGAAAGAGGGAAGTCAGATTAGAAAATGATGCCAGTGAGTTCTTCCAGGTTTTTTTTGTTTTGTTTTGTTTTGTTTTTTTAAATTTCAGAGAGAAAGAAGATGAGAGAGAGCATGAGAGGGAGCAAGGGTCAGAAGAAGAAGCAAACCAGGGAGCCTGATGCGGGACTCGATCCCAGAACTCCAGGATCATGACCTGAGGCAAAGGCATGGCTTAACCAACTGAGCCGCCCAGGCACCCCAATTCCTTCCAGTTCTAATTAACAGAAGCTGATTACATTTTCCTCATAATCATCCCTGCACATGCAACCTGCAAGAAGCCCTTTGAAACCTTTCTTGCTCTAGGAGAGGTCTAAGCCAGGACAGCTCCGCTTTCCTTAGAGCTCTGCGTCAATCTAGGACGCCTGCCTTGTCTGCGCACTACTTGAGCTGGAAGATGCAGGAAGACGAGCAGGAAACTAGCCTGGCACAGAGCAAAGAGCTCAGGTACCCAAACCTTGGTTCTACTTACAGCGGAACCTTGACAAAGTTACTTCTCTCTTAAGCTACAACTTGCTATGAGAAATTATAGGAGTCGTGTCAAATGCCTGAACATCCAATAGTTACTCAATAAACACTAAATCCTGCTCCTGTCTACACTCAGCACATGCACGTTTCAGGAGGGGACTGCCGGCGTGAGTTCTGGATCCACACCCCAAACCTTCCTGCTTTATTCACCGACGGCGGCTCCATTACTGTATTTGAAATGAACTCGTCGCCCATCAGCTACTAGGCCGAGGCGAGCAATCCTGAGTTGTGGTGGTGCGACATTCTAAAGATTTATTTGTTTATTCGTCCGAGAGCGAGCGAGCGAGCGAGCACACAAGCAGGCGGAGCTGCAGGCAGAGGCGGAGCGAGAAGCAGGCTCCCTGCCGAGCAAGGAGCCCGATGCGGGGCTGGACCCCAGCACCCTGCGCTCCTGACCTGAGCCGAAGGCAGCGGTCCCCGGCCCCGGCGTCCCGACACTCTGATCGTGTCGGTGAGACACTCACTCCCTGCTCACTGCCCTGCAGAGACGAGAGGGAAGGACGCTTAGGAGAACGTCGCGTGACCTACATAAACGCAGGACACAGACACTGTCGGAAATGACACCCGAAAAGCCCCACGCCAACCCTCAGTGCCTTTTCAGCCTTTCGGTTTCCAGCCCCTCGTGGGTCCCCCAGGCCAGTGGGCGAGTCCCGCGAGAGCGGACAGAGCAGCCCCCGCGCAGAAGCGGGCGGGCGCGACTCTCCGCGCTCAGAGCTCCAGCTGGGCCAACCTGTTAGTCACCCTCGCCCGGGTCCTAGCCAGGGCCTGGCGGTCACGCGGGAAGCGGCTGCGCCCCTCCGCGCGAGGCCTCGGAACGCCCCGGCGCACCTGCACCTGCCGGGCCACGGGGTGGGAACCGGAGTCTTCCCGGAGCGGCCACCGCGGCACCCCGCCCCCCTTGGCAGCCTCCGACCAGTCAGCGCGCAGCCTGCCTCGAGGCGGCGCTCCCATTGGCTCTGTGTCCTGCCCCTCATCCTCTTGCGTCCAATCAGACCCCAGAGCGGACAGAGCACCTCGAGGCTGCCTCGGCCAGTGCCCGGCGGTCGGCCGCCGCTTCCCGCTTTTGTTTTCCGGCCTGTGGTGCGCTCGTCTGACTAAGTGACGGCGGGAGAACAGGCACTTGGTGTCCTCCGGTCCCAGCCATTGCCGTCCTTCCCTGAAGAGCCCCCAGACTCTCGGGAAGATTTGCTGTCGCTAGGAGAAACTGAGGCAGGGAGGGCTGCCCGTGCCTTCCTGCAGTCCGGTCCGCGGACGCCTGGGCTCCCAGCCCCCGCCGTGGCTCCCGGCCAGGGACAGCCCGCTTCGCGCGGCCGGAGTCAGGCCGGGGGCGGGGCTTGGCTGGGCCGGTCCAGGATGCGAGATCCTGGAGGGAGGAGTAGCGGCGGTGTGCGGGCTGGGCAGGCTCGGCGGGGCTGGGCTCTTCGGGACCGGCTAGGCGGCGGTGGGCCCGTTCGTCTGAAGCAGAGAGAAGGCCGGAGGCGAGGTCCCCCGGGGGGGGGGAGGGGCAGGTGAGGCAAGGGGGTGACGGGAGAAGACCCCCGGGGGCCAGGTGAGGAAGGGGGGGGGCACCCAGCAGCTGCGTGGGGAGGGTGCGCTCACCCTCCTGCAGCTCTCCCCGCAGGATGGACTTCCGAACCCCCGACCTGCTGGACGTGTGGCTGGAGCCCCCAGAAGAGGTCTCAGCAGGAGCCTTCCTGGAGCTGGGACTCCCCTGCCCCGCCCCAGAGGTCCCAGGGCCTCAGCTCCGAGAGCCTGGAGGCTGGGAGCCCAGCGGGGGACGGGGCTGTGTGAGTGTGAGGCACGCAGGTGGGGGTGGGCCGAGACACAGCTGCGAGGGGAGTCATCTGGAGACCGAGCCCCTAAGATGTCCCAGGACATGGGGGACTGAAATTGAAGCGGGGCGTACCTTGGTCTGATGGCGCGCCGCTCTCCAGAACTCTCCCCTGCACACCTGCGTGCTCTCTCACACTGTAGGGCCTTCAGGAGAGTGAGCCCGAAGACTTCCTGCAGCTGTTCATTGATCCCAATGAAGTGTACTGCTCAGAGGCATCTCGTGGCAGTGACAGTGCCATCTCCGAGGACCCCGGCCTCGCACACAGTTCCCCTGCTCTCTGTGAGGTTGTCTATGAGGCAGGGGGCCTGGAGAGGCGGCAAAGGGAAGCTGGGCCGGCTGTAGGGCTCATCTCTCTCCAGCTAGGTCAGTGTTCTTTGTGGGAAGGGGAGAGTGGCCTTTCAGGTCCAGCCCTATTCCCGGGGCTAAGGGGTTTCCCCAACCTGTGCCTCTCCCCAGGCCCCACTGCCATTAGGGTCTACCCTTCCTCTCCTTTCTCCTAGCCACCTGTGTCTCCCTCAGGTCCACGGAGCCCACCATGTACGGTGCCTGCTGCCTGCTCTGTCGGGGAGCTGCCCCTCGCTGCTCATGCTCACACGCTACCCAGAGTGGGCGCTGTAAACCCAGTACCTCCCGCGACCCTGGTGAGTCTTAGCCAGCCAGAGCCGCACTCCCGGATGCAAAGAGACGCACCCACACAGATGGGGTGAGGGACTGAGGAAGGGGAACAGTCATGCTCACCCTGCCCCAGTTTTTGTGGGCCCTGAAGATCAGAGAGGCATGAGCAACTCTGAGAGCACGAAAGGACAAGGGAGACAAGCCTTTGAAAGTAAGGTGGTGACGACTCAAATAAGAAGGTGGGGTGAGGGAATCTGGGCAGAGGGCCTGGGAGAAAGCCCAGACCTTGTGTGCAGTTTACTCAGCCACAGGTCAGGACACGGAGTGGGATTCAGCCTGCTAGGAGGCACCGGGTGGAGAATTTTCCGCCAAAACAACTGTGCAGCTGCACCCACCACCCTGGGGGGTAACACACTGGTGCCTTCGGAAGACTGGCTGCTCTGCTTTCTGCAGTAGGGGGAGAAAGGGGTCTTTCTCAGGTCACTGTTGACCAACAGTCACTGGAAAGAAGTTCTAGTCTTCCTGCCAGTCTGTGGCTGAAGCTGGCCCCAGGGTCCAAGCCAAGCAGCTCAGAATTGAGGGACCTTAAAAAGTCTGATGCTTCTAGGCTTGCTTTCCCATCAAAACACTGGGGAGTTTGTGGCTTCAGGGGAGCAAGGGATCATCAGGAAGAGGCAAGACGACAAGAAATGGCTTGGCTAGATGCCAAAGGCCATCAGGAGCCAACAGCAGAGACAAATTCCTCTGAAGTCAGAGTGAAGCACAAGTATTTCAAAAAGGAGCATCGGAAAGGCAGTTTCCTCAGTTGACAGGCTCAGGTTCACCAGATGTCATCTACCTGCCCCACATACTATGTTATGAGAAGCTAAGTCTGGCGACCCTTGGGAGTTCTTTGCGAGGAGACCGAGTTTTAGTCTTGAAAGTGGGGCTCAGACCCTGAGGGCAAATGGGTCACTGCCCCAGGGAGCTCCCTGACGTTGACCCTGCTGAGACAACACACTGCCCAGTGAAAGTTAACGGGCAAAAGGGAATCATTTGCTTGCTGTGAGATTAAGCAAACCCTGCCTTAGTGAGTTCCTGTCTTCAAACACCCTTCGGAATCGGGGAGGCACGCACCAGAACAAGCCCTCCCTAGTTTGCTCAGAGTGCCAAGGTCCTAAGTCTGGGGGCAAAGCATGTAACATAAGCCCTCCTCTCCCTTCACAGCCCCAGGAGGCCCCTCTGGCTTGGTCCAGGGCCTGTCTGAAGTTCCCTCCCTCACCTCATTTCATGGTTACTTATTCCTTAGCACAAATGGGAAACTCTCCAGGTGTGTAGGGGGCGTGGCCCTGGGTAATGGGAAAGGGAAGACCCTCCCCCCCTCATCGATTTTCTCTGTTCTCCACCAGCTGCCCTGTCAAACGTTGTTCCTGACAGAGGAGGAGAAGCGTCTGCTGGGACAGGAAGGGGTTTCCCTGCCCTCTCACCTGCCCCTCACTAAGGTAACATGCTCCCCCAAAGAGTATCCCAAACCCAACCCAGTGGCCCCAACATGGCCTCTGAAGAGCCAGGATTACAAGAGCAAGTGGGGAGTTGAGGCAGGTTAAAGGCCCAGCACTGACACACCCGGGGCCCCCAGGCAGAGGAGAGGGCCCTCAAGAAGGTCAGGAGGAAGATCCGTAACAAGCAGTCGGCGCAGGACAGTCGGCGACGGAAGAAAGAGTACATCGACGGGCTAGAGAGCAGGTATGTCTGGACTTAGTGTCTTGCCCCCTGTGGGCCACATTGGGGGACTCCTTCGTTACCAAGGCAGGCCAGGTCTGGCACCACGTGACTGCAGACTGTCCTACCTTTCCGCGCTCTCTAGAGCAGCTGCCTGTTCTGCACAGAACCAGGAACTACAGAAGAAAGTCCGGGAGCTGGAGAGGCACAATATGTACGTGACAGAGGACAGTGCGCCCCGGGGGGAGGGCGTGTGGCACACAGGGCTCATTCGGGCGCCCGGCTCCCAGGAGAGCGGACTCTCCATTCGTCCTCCTCCTCTCTCTGGTGCGCCAGCGCTCTGGAAGCTCAGCTCCACCAGCTGCGGACGCTCACTGCCCAGACCTCCAACAAAGCTGCCCAGACCGGCACTTGTGTTCTGGTACTACCTACTTCCCATCTGCCCCCACCTCTACCCTGACATCCCCACTCCCAACCATACCCACTTTCCCATCCCCAATGACTGCAACTGCCCTCTGTTCATGCTGCCCTTGGGCCCCTCCTTTAGTGTCCCCACAACCCAAGTGTCCCTTTGCTTTCTCCAGATCCTCCTTTTTTCTCTGGCCCTCATCATCCTGCCCAGTGTCAGCCCCTTGCAGGGTCTGCGGGAAGCTGGCACCAATGATCACCAGCCACAGGGAGGTGAGGCGGGGCAGGGTGGGACTCCGCTTTCTGGGGGTAGTCAGAAGGTGGGAGGTCGGTCCCATCCTGTCTAGGACCCCCCCATCCAAGGGAACACTCTATTACTGCCCACAGTGATTTCCAGAAATATCCTGACTCACAAGGACATAACAGAAAACTTGGAGACCACAGCGGTAGAGCCCAGATTGGAGGGGCCACCTAGGGCCACGGGTGTCAATGGCTCAACAAGGAACCTGCTGGAGAAGAGGGGAGGGAAGACAGGCCCCAGTGGGCATGTCAGAACTGTCCTGCATGCAGATGAGATGTGAGCTGGAACATTTCCCAAGCCACTTCCAACCACAGTAAGGAATCCAGGATCCCCGATGGCTCTTTCCGCTGGGATTCCTATTCGGAGTTCTTTGGCCTCGGGGTCTGAATCATTTCAGGACACCCTAAGTATCTGTACCCTGAGGCCCAGGCTATGTGATGAGGCATTTCAGATACTTTTGTTATACATCTGCAATTTTATTTTGGGGGGGGGGGTTAGGGTTGGGGGAAAACAGAGGTTTTGGCTGAGAAATAAACTTTTTTGCTGAAATTTTGTCCTGAAAATTTTAAATAAGTACCAGAAGAAGGGGAAGATAGGTAGTTGGTACACTGGGGCCTAAAGCTGCTATCCCATTTCTGCCACCAGGACTTTCTGTCCCAAACCAAATTATAATAGAGAAGAAAACTATTCTGTATTTTGCTCGTTAATGATCTAGACAAGAGACAGAGAAGTAGGTGCCACCACAAGTTCCCAAGAACAAAGGGCCCAAGTCCGTTCATTCTACTGTCTGTGTCTGAGGTACAATCCCTAAGGCCCCTATCAAAAAGTGGAAGGTAGCTATATGGACTCGATTTGCTTCCGGACCTTTTCCAGAGCTTTTCTGTCCAGCTGTCGCTGACGAATGATGACAAGGCAAGCAAAGACCAAGGCCACACCCACGATGGCCCCTTCAAATTTCCAGAATAAATGTTGTTCCATCAGAGCTGAGCGGCAGCTAAGAGCAGGAAGAAACAGTTATTCCCAGGGAAGGCTGAACCACTCTCCCTCCAATCTCCCTTCTAGTGAAGCCTAATCAAGATACATCTGAGAGAAAAGAGGAAGCCACAGTCATCCTTCTAACGTGTTTACCCTATACAAATCCCACTTGAATCTGTCGTTCAACTTATTTTCTAGTGAGGTAAACAGAGCTGGTATTAACCAATTCTACTGATGAGAAAATGAGACCAATGATGAAGTGCTGAGGATGAGAGCTGGAACGTGGATTCAAATACTTTGGTTCCCCCGACCCCCATATGCCACACGACCTCCAGACAGAAAGATGTGGGGCTATTAGTCTGCCTAACATCACAAGAACAAAAGACGTGATCTAGAAGGTTCCAAGATGAGAAACAACACTTGCCTTTTGAATTCATTCCTCTTAGATGAGCTGCATGTGATTTTCTCCACATACCCTGTGGAACCACACTCAGGGGTGGTTTTCTGTCAGAAGAAAAGGACCAAAGCACATGTCAGGAAAGGGCAGCAGAAGCAGAAAAACTGCCATTCAGAAGCGCCAGGTGTCCACCTGCTATGGCTCAGAGCTGATGGGCAACAGAGAACCAACAAAGAAATTGTTTGTTTTTAAGGATTGTCTTTATTTGACAGAGACAGCAAGAGAGAGAACACAAGCAGGGAGAGGGAGAAGCAGGCCCCCACTGAGCAGGGAGCCCGATGTGGGGCTCAAACCCAGGACCCAGGGATCATGACCTGAGCTGAAGGCAGACACTTACCGACTGAGCCAGCCAGGTGCCCCAAGAGAGAGTTCTAATGGGGATGATGGAGGTACTGGTTGCGTGACCATTAACATATTAGAACACTTCAGAGGCAACAGCCTAAGAGGGACAGATTCCAGAGCCCATGGGATTAAAAATGATCATGACCGGGGTGCCTAGCTGGCTCAGTCAGCATTTGAGTCTTGATCTCAGAGTTAGGAGCTCCAGCCTCACATTGCTGTAGCGCTTAAAGATAAGATATTTAGGGGCGCCTGGGGGCCTCAAATGGTTAAGCCTCTGCCTTCAGCTCAGGTCATGATCCCAGGGTCCTGGGAGGGAGCCCCTCATCCGGCTTCTCCCTCTCCCTATGCCCCGCCCCCAAGCTTATGTACCAGCTGTCTTGCAAATAAAGTCTATTAGGAAAAAAACAAAACAAAACAAAACACAAAAATAACCCAAAACCGGTTTGTAATAATTATAGGTTAAAAAAAATCTTCAGGGGTGCCTGGGTGGCTCAGTGGGTTAAGCCTCTGCCTTTGGCTCAGGTCATGATCTCAGGGTCCTGGGATCCAGCCCCAAGTCAGGCTCTCTGCTCAGTGGGGAGCCTGCTTCCTCCTCCCTCTCTGCCTGCCTCTCTGCCTACTTGTGATCTCTGTCACATAAACAAATAAAATCTTAAAAAAAAAAAAAAAATCTTCAGGGCACCTGGGTGGTTCAGTGGGTTAAGCCTCTGCCTTCAGCTTGGGTCGCGTGGGGCTCTCTGCTCAGTGGGGACCCTGCTTCCTCCTCCCTCTCTGCCTGCCTCTCTGCCTGCTTGTGATCTCTGTCAAATAAATAAAATCTTAAAAAAAAAAATCTTCAAAGAGTTAGAGTAAGGGCACATGAACCTGGCAAGTGGTAGAGAGGAGGATGTCAAGCAAGAGCCCAGATCCCCACAAGAAGGGGCACGACCCTGAGATCACCACCCAGGTGAAAGTCAAGGAGGCTCAACTGACTGAGCCACCCAGGTGCCCCTAAAAGTAAGTTTTTCTTTAAATGAATATGATTATTAGCCAAATATTACCATTAACTTAGGAAATGGCACATTTTCGGAGGGAAACCAAGGGGACACACACCGAGACTGCAAGGAAAAACACCGAAAGGCGATGCGGGGGCACACGCAGGCCGAGACGGCAGCGGGGAGGGAGCACATACTCACGGCCTGGAAACGGGAGCACGGCGCGCACTCCTCTGCCACCGCGAACTCTTCCACCAGCCAGCACGGCAGGTTCGAGGCGCCCACTGCAACGGCAGAGAAAGGCCAGCCCCAGACCTCGTTCGGAAAATGGGTCTCGCGAAGGTGCGGCCCACCCGACCTCCCAGCACCGCTGACCGCCCGCGTCCCCACCTGCGCTCCGGCTCGGTGGGAGGACGGGGGGCCGGGCCGGCGCACCATCACCCACCTGACAGCTTCTCCGCGGGCGCGGGGGCCTCGGCCTGGCTGCAGCCGGAGCGAGGAGGGTGGGGGACGGGGAGGCACAAATCAGAAGCCAGAAAACAGGGAAGTCCCCACCTCCGCGGCGCCGGATCCCGCGCGCCCTCCCCCCACCCCCCTTCCCCACGAGGGGCGGGGACGACGCGGTCCTCCCGGCCCCTCCGCCCTCCGCCGCTCCTCACCAGAGCTTTAGGGCGAAAGCGCAGAGCAGCCAGCAGAGGTGGCAGCCCTGGGGGAGGCGCCGCCTCCCTCCGCCCGCAGGCATGGAGCGCTCAGGGTCGCGCCTGTCGGGGCGGAGGGACTTGCGAGACCGGCCTCGTGCCTCGGCCGGGGCGCTTCCGCCGCAGGCTCCGGAGGTCCAGTCAGGGCTGCGAGAAGCCGACACTGCCTCTCAGGGCAGAGGCATCACTGGGGCGTCCCCACGGCCACGGCAGGAAAAGCCATCACGCCTTCGTTGGAATGGGCTTGAGCTCGCTTCCTGGGACCCGCACGGCCCTCGGGAGAGGCCGCGGGGCGGACGGCCTAGCGCCCCGTCACCTCCGGGGCCGTCCCGGCCGCCGCCATCTTGCTCCGCGGAGGATGCCGGGCCCGCGTTTGGGGGGAGGGGCGGGGCGGGAGAAAAGGCCGCAGCCGCGGGGAATGCCGGGACCTGGGAGGATTCCCGCGGCTGAGTCGTTCCGCGCAGGCGCGCGAGTCTCGGCCCTCCGCAGGCGGCGGGTTGGGTAGGGGCCGCTTGGCGGGTGTTCGCGGCGGCCGGGTCCTTCTGCGTGGCCGCCCACTGGCCCCCTGTGGGCGAGGAGAGCAGCGACACGGAACCGTCCGCCGCCACCTCCGAAAGCGCGGGGATGAGCCGCCACCCGGCCCCGTTCCTTTCCGGATGGTCCCGGGAGCGAGGCGCCCCCGCACTTCCCCAGCCCGGGGCGCCGTGTCTCCGCTCCCCCGGCCGAGCCGCCGGTGTCGCTGCTCCCGGACTGCCCCCGGGCCCGGTACTCTGGCGAGCTCCGCGCTCCGGCTCCTCGGTGGGAGCGCCATTCGCTCCGGGACGGGAGCGCGGGACCAGGAGTCCCGGGAAGAACCGAGGCGGGCCTGCAGGGCGCCGGCCGCCTCTCGGTAGCCTCCGAAACGGGAACGTTCGTGCGCAGTTTCCAGGGTTAGGGCGACGTGTAACCAAGTATTTTCTTTTTCCTCTGATTGCACTGGGTCCCATCACTGTCCTACTTCTTGACGTCAACGTTTCGGTCACCTTGGTCTTCGGTGATCCTGTTTTGTCCCTATGTTGGAAGCTCAGAATAGAAGTGACTTGCAGGGCCACCCAGAGGCTGAGCGGGAGGGCCCAGAAGAGCGATTCCAAGGCCAAAGATTCACCCCCCGCTTTCCACCCCATAGAGATAACCCTCCGGGAGACTTGCCCTGCCCTCTGGGTTCGTGCTTTACTGCCTGGCAATCGAACTCTGCCCGTAATTTCCTCCTAATTTTACATACACGTGGGTTCACAGCCTCCCAGACAATAAGACCGAGTGAGTTCAGGGGGTACTTAAATTCATACAATTAGGGTCACTAGTAGTAATCTGTCCCCCACTTCTCAAGACGAAACGGCTTGCCTGTTTGGTTAACCCTACCCCACATTCTCCTATCCCCGTAAGTCTTCCTGGCCTCCCCCCACCCCACAGCCCTAAGGGCTAGAGCACTGCATTTAAGTTGAAGCGCATATGCAATGCTGCATCCCATAAAGGCTGCTGGGTCCTCAGGAGCAGGAAGGATCAGACTGTGGAAAGACCATCAGATGGGAGTTGAGACCAAACTTTACTTTTCTTGTGACTGTTTGCTCATTCCTTGAAGTTACTGTTTGTACATGTCTATAGTTGTATGTAACGGGAAGTAGGTGTATTTTCCAGTAGCTTTTAGCGGTTAGGAAAGTTTGGATGAAATCCTTCTAGCAACCTGTTACTCCTTATCAAACCTGACCACGGCTGGTAACAAGCTGTGGGAGCCCTAAGCTCTCACTTCCAACAGCTGTACCAAGCAACTGAGTAGGTTTCTGCACGGATACTGGATTTTTTTTTTTTAAGATTTTATTTATTTGACAGAGAGATCACAAGCAGGCAGAGGTGGGGGGAAGCAGGCTCCCCACTGTGTGGAGAGCCCGATGTGGGCCTCGATCAGAGGACCCTGAGACCATGACCTGAGCCAAAGGCAGAGGCTTAACCCACTGAGCCACCCAGGCGCCCCTGATACTGGATTTTCAAACATCCGCTCTGGGGTGTGATGAAGAGGTCAGTGTTCTTCCTGGGATTCACAAAATGCAAGTCTTTCCTCATAACCCTGAGCAAAGCACACCAGCTGGGCTGCTGACTACAGAGCCCAGGGCTGATCTTCACCCCGCAGAAGTTTGATACTTAACACACGTATGCAATCATTCCGAAGTTCTCCTCCCAGCATGGTCAGGCTTTTTCCTGGTGTTGTCCTTTACCAAAAAACAGCGGCACAGATGCTGCTGACCCAAGGTTGTGCCATCCATTTCCATGCCACCGGCACGGGGATTTCTGAAGTGCCTTGAACTTCCTATCTGTAAAATTAAACTTGTGGAAGCCAAATGTGCCATTTTCATTAGCCCTGATAAAAGGTTATCTGTGAGATAATTTTGCTGTTTAGAAACTCCTGTGCAAGTGTCCAAGGGGGCTGTGTATGTTTATGGGGACTATGCGTCATCAAGCCTGAGTTTGTGGGTGGTGGTTCCTTTTTTCTTTTTTTTTTAAGATTTTATTTATTTATTTGACAGAGATCACAGGTAGGCAGAGAGAGAGGAAGGGAAGCAGGCTCCCTGCTGAGCAAAGAGCCCCATGTGGGGCTTGATCCCAGGACACTGGGATCATGACCTGAGCCGAAGGCAGAGGCTTTAACCCACTAAGCCACCCAGGCGCCCCTGGGTGGTGGTTTTTTAGCATGCCAGTAGTTTTGCCTCTTTGTTTTTCAGTATTTAGGAACTGTTTTTTTTTTTTTTTTTTTTTTTTAAAGATTTTACTTATTTACTTGACAGAGAGATCACAAGTAGGCAGAATCAGGCAGAGAGAGAGAGGGGGAAGCAGGCTCTCCGCTGAGCAGAGAGCCGGATTCAGGGCTCGATCCCAGGACCCTGAGATCAGGGCCTGAGCCAAAGACAGGGGCTTAATCCACTGAGCCACCCAGGTGCCCCAGGAACTGTTTTTGTTAAAATTTGCTTGTCCTTTTTGTAAGTTCCACCCAAAATTGACCATTGTGTTTGGCACATACTAAATGTTCAATAAATATTTATGACTGTGGGGCGCGTGGGTGGCTCAGTCCATTAAGCGTCTGCCTTCGGCTCAGGTCATGATCCTGGGGTCCTGGGATTGAGTCCCATATCAGGCTCCCTGCTCAGCGGGGAGCCTGCTTCTCCCTCTGCCTCTGCCACTCCCCCTGCTTGTGTGCAACTGCTCTGACAAATAAATAAAAATCTTTAAAAAAAAAAAAAAGATTAATGACTACAGTGCCAGGGTGGCTCAGTAAGTTAAGCATCTGCGTTCAGCTCAGGTCATGATCCCAGAGCCCCTCGCTGGCGTCCACCACCCCATCAGTTTCCCTGCGGAGCGGTGAGTCTGCTTCCTGGCCCCACCCCTTATGTGCGCTCGCGTGCTCTTTCCTCAAATAAATAAATGTTAAGAAAAAAAAAAGATATATGACTAAATGAATCTCCTCCGTGTCTCATTTTCCTCATCTATAAAAGTGGAAAATAATGCCTACCAGCTACCTAAGAGGACTGGTGGTGGAATCAGAGACGCTTGAAGAAATCACAGGATAAAACCAGGACCTGTTACTTCCTTGAGACTAGGGCTGTCACTGCCCTGGGAAGGCCTAAGAAAGAGTCCTCCGGAAACCAGGCAAGGCTCTGCCCACAAGGCTCCTGTCAACCCTATAACAGAAAAAGGATGTCCAGATCTCCAGGTTCAGAGAATCTCCTGGTCTTTTCCTCATCCATGTGGGGACAGGTCCCGGTGTCACAGGAAGCCAGCCTGGTTCCGGCAGCCCAAGCACCTCAGAGGCAGGAATTGGGTCTGATGATGAATGTCACCAAACCAGGGACCTTTGTGTGGGTGCTGGTCCTTCATACTGACAAGACTGTGCAGGGTCATAGGGTCAAACTTCCAGAGGGGGTGCTGAGCCAACTTCTCACACAAGCCTAAAACCTGATCCAGTAACAACAAATCAACTGTTTATTTACATTTATGTCTGCCCTAGAAGCCCAGGGAAGGTCTGACACCTAGGGCCGCTTCTTTCCTCCTCCCGTCTCTTCCTGCCCCCTCTCCTCCTGTTACCCCCTCGCCTCTCTCCTCCTTGCTTCTCCTTCCCTCTCTACTCCACCTCCTTTTCGTCTCTCGCCTTCCGTGTTCTTCTGCATTTTCTCCTACTCTTCCAGCATCTACCTACCTCCAGCCCCTCCAAGTCCCACGTGCTGTTCCTCCCCTGCCCACCCACAGCCCTGCCTCCCTCAGGTCCAGCCTCCGGGCCTAGGGTCCTCAGCCAAGGGAGCACTTGCTGGTGTTCTTCTTGTCACAAGCTCTCAGGTCAGTGCCGGGGGGCTTTTGGCTGTTTCCCTGGAGGGGGAAGGGCACAGGATCAGGGTGACAGTGGCTGTCTGGGGTCTGTCCACTGCTGGATGGGGATCCACCCTTGGGTGGCGTTAGCACTGCTCGTCTCCTGCGGTGTCACTCCTAACAGGCGCGCTCATGCACACACAGCTGTGCCCATCCCAACAGAACCAACTCACCGGTCTCCGGCCTCCTGACTTGAGCAAGATGTCCCGGGCCAGGGAACTGAAAGCCTGACGGGGAAAGGAGTGCATGGTCAGAACACGCCAGGGGGGGCCAGGCTTGCTGTCTGTCGGCCACCCCGGGAGTGGGGCTGGGCCTGGCGGGTGTCTCACCTCATCCACGTTTGCGCTGGATTTGGCACTGGTCTCGAAGAATCGGATCCCATGCTCGCGAGCCAGCTGTGGGGTGGAGGAGGGAGGAGGAGAGGTGGGAAAAGGGCGGCAGCCTTCTGGAACCCAACTCCATCTTGGCCTGGGCCTCACCTTAACGGCACGCTCCTTCTGCACCTTCCTCTTGGCCTCCATGTCGCACTTGTTGCCCAGCAGCAGGCGCTCCACCCCAGCTGAGGCGTTCTGGGAGCACAGAGGCAGGGAGAGTCAAGTGGGGTCCTGCTCACCTTCACGGCTCCTGCTCTTCCATCTCTTCAGGAGGGTCTTTACCTCTTTGATGCTTTTCATCCAGCTCTGAATATTCTCGAAGGATTTCTCATCTGTGATGTCATATACTAGGATAATGCCCTGCGGGACGGCAAGAGTTCACCATGGAGCCTTGGGCCCCATTGCCCCCGTTTGGGCTTCCTGCCCCTTCAAGTAACCCTGCAAATTCTCTCCAAGCTTCTCCCCATAGTCCGTGTGGGACTCGCGCACTGTGCCCCCTGCCGATTTCCCCGCCCCAGCCCTACCCATGGGTACTCATACAGCTCCACTCTGCGGCCTCATGCCTCGTCCAGACCCACACCTCGTACCATGGCCCCACGGTAA